ACTAATTGGGCTAATAGGAGAAGGCAGTAGAGTTTAACTCAAATATATACATATACCAGTACTTACATAAAATTTAAATGGGCTAAAGATTCCCAGTAAAAGGTAAAAAATGAATGGATTTTTAAAATATGCCATTTAAAGGCTGGAAATATAGCTCAACAGCAGAGCACTTGCTTCGCAAGCGTGAGGTCATGAGTTCAATTACCAGTACCAATAAAATATGCCACTGAGAAGGAAAACATTTTGCCTGTAAGGACAGGTGGTAATTAGAAGGATGTAGAGATACGTCTTGGAAAATAAAGTTAGTGTATATAAATCAAAATGTTAAATATACATTAGGCCAAAATATGTAAACGTATCACATAAATAGAATAAAGAAAAGAGATCAAGTGCCCATCATGACAGGCCTAAGGTAACCTCAGGTCCCACATCAAGAGGTGACCTATGTCCCTGGAACCTGGGTGGATGTTTGAGACCCTGACCCACAAGAGAAGCAGAGGTGACCGTATGTGACCTTTTAGATTAGATCATGAAACACCATGTATTTCCTCCTTGCTCTCTTGCAGGTGATGCACGATGGGCAGCCATGTAAAGCCATTCATGCAGTGGACAGTAACCCCAGCACAGGACCTGGCAGACACTAGCATCACCGGCAGACAGTGTAAGTCAGGAGCCCAGGCAATTCCAGCCCAGAGCCTGGGAGTCCTCCCGATGGGTGCAGGGTGCAGACCAGGGCCCAGTCCCATTCCTGATACAGAATCTGTGGCATAATAAATGTTCCACGCCACTGCATTCTGAGCTGTAGTAGACACAAGCAGAGGAGCTTCTGGAGCACCAAGGATGCTCCTTTTCTTGGCCCAGGTGCTGCTACTGTGAATGTGTCCAGTATGTGACCAACATGCTTAGGACCCACGTACTAGTTCTGCCTCCACAAAAGACACGATTCGAGAAAACAAAAGAGGACACAGAATGTGACGGCGGGTGTGAGGCTGGGAGCATAGGAAAGGGAGAGGCCCCTGATCCTGGAGGGAGAGCGGGTGCTGAGCAGCGAGGCCACCCGCCAAGGCCCTGGACAAAGGCTCTCAGGAGCGAACCCAGCCAGCGAGCACATGCAGTGACAGGGCAGCACCACGAGGTGTCAGCATCCGCCCGTGAACCCTGTGCACGGGAGTTAGGGGGAGTTTGCCGCCCCCCTGGCGGCGGGGCTGTAGCTGAAGCTGGAGCCTGGGGTGATGGACACTGCCTGCGGGCTCTGAGTTTTGACTGATCACCTGCTCAGCCCCCCACTCAAGGGAAGGCAGGGGAGCTTGTAGGGCTCTAGTCTGGAAAATTGAGGCCAAACACTTTTATGGGATCCCCTGGGTGTCCTCTGGAGACCGAATGGTGTCACTGTAAATCCTGGCTCTGCTGCCTACTACCTGTTGATTCTGAGCAATGGACTGACCTCTCTGTCCCCAGTTTCTCATAAGCAAAGTGGAGCTGACAAGGGTGGCTGCTTCCTGGGGCCGGGCAGTGGATTCAGCACCTTGGTTCTTGACTGGGGCAAAGCCTGAGTGAAGGCTCAGAAAACATTTCCCCAAGCTGAGCTAAAGTGACAGGGGCCTCAGAAGCAGCTCAGAAGCAAAGTCTCTCTCTTGGTCTCTCTGTCTCTGTCTCTGTCTCCCTCCCTTTCTGTCCTGTCCCCTCCTGTCCCACTCCCTAGCCTGTAGCAACTAGAATACCTTTCCTCAAAGCCAGCCAAGGTGACATCCTTCCTTCTACTGAAAGACCCCCATTCCTGTGCCCTGTCCCCAGAGGGAGAAATACCACTTGGAGCCCTGACACACCTGGTCACCCAGGTTGCGCCTGTTAGCACTGGATCACAGCTTTTCATCCAGTCTCAGTGCTGTTGGGCTGTCCTTGCTTGGGCAAACCTAAGCGTTAACAATGGATAGTTCTCCTGCATCTTGGGCCTTCATTTCAGAAGGCTTAGTGTGGCACACGACTCTGATTAAATCTGTTCTGCTCTGTTGGCCTGTCTTTGTCACAGGCATGTCAGTGTGACCCTTTTGGTAGGGAGGAAGGTGATCACATCCCTCCATCCCTACAGCTCCTCAGGTCACCTTGCTTAACAGAAACCAGTTCTGTTTGCAGGGCACCTGCTATGTGCCCACCAGTGACCCTCAGTCAGCACTATCATACCCTGCAGATGAGGAGAGCAAGGCTTGACTTTTCTAGAGCTAATCAGCACCCCAAACTAGGGTCAGTTTACCTCTTTTGGCCCCTGAGTCCTGTCCTGTCCCCCAGGCCAGGGAACCTCCCTCTGAGTTTCCCCTCACCCCTGGCCAACCTCAGCATCACATCTGATGGTTCCTGGGGCCAGGAACAGCCCTTCCAGGAGGAATAGCAGGCTCCTTCAAAGGGCCGTAGGCATAAAATATGAACCTAGCTCCGTGGCGCAGCACCTCCCTGGCAAGCATGAGGTCCTGAGTTTATTCCTAACACCCCTCCCTTCCAAAACGGAACCTAGTAGAAAGTGTTTAGGGGGTTTGGAGACGCCCTCTCCCTCCCCTGTTTCCTTCACTTCTCTTTCCTCCGTCCTTTCTTCCTCCTCCTTTTTCTTTTTCATGTACCTTTCAGAGTAAAGATGACTGGGCTGGATACTGCTCAGCGTTAGAGCATTTGCCTACAGTACGGAAGGCCCTGGGTTCCATCCCTAGCATTCTCAAATAAAGGAAAAAATCCTAAAAATGTCTGCTGGAGTGCCACACATTAGCATCACAAATCGTCTCCTCTGCTGGTCTAACCACGCTGCTTTCTCGGTGATTGTCATGGGCTCTACCGGGATGCAGTGTTCCCTGTGTCCCAGCTCCACTTCAGAGACCAGTGTGGGATTTTGGGACACAGGTGTGGCTGCTCGATTCCTAGACCCTGAGGTCCTAGCTATCCCAAACTAGGACTGATCCACCTGCCCAAGCCATGCCTTTTTTGGCAGAAGGATCCCAGAGCTAATCATCGTGAGAAATGCAATGCAGACAAAGGAAAAGCTTACAAGACAAGTTGCTTTTTTTGAGGGACATTTACCTCTGTGGAGAAAATCTCCTTTCCTTCTCTTCCTCTCCACTCCTCCTCCTCCCCTTCTCCCTCTTCTTCCCCAACCCTCAACAGGGTCTTACAGTGTAGCTGTCCTTGAACCCATTGCGTAGCCCAGCCCTGTCTCAAACTCACAGGGATCCTCCTGCCTCAGGCTCCTAAGGCTAGAATTACTGGTGTGAGCCAATCACACCCTGCTTGACTCTTTCTTTTCTGATAATCTGTCATGGTAGGTGTTCTTATTACCCAGTTTGTCAATAAACAAAGCCCAAGAGTTCCCCAATTTAGCCCACCCAGTCAGTTCTTAACCCTGTCACAGAAAAGAATTCTCAGAGTGTGTCCATTAGAGGCATAGAAAGGTTTCACTGGGCAGAGTTTAAAAAAAACCACCCCCTCACGGGGGATAGAGTGTGGGCGCTGGAGGGAGTCCATATTATGGTCTGCAGTGGGGCATACAGAGGTGGGGAGGGGTGTGAATTTGTGAATCTATAGAACTCCAGGCTCAATTTACAAGTGACTATGATGCCCCATTTAAGTGGGGAAATCAAAGGCCCAATCTATTGTTTCCGGTTGGGAGAGAGAGTTGTTAGTTTTTTGTTTGTGGCGCTGGGAATTGAACCCGTGGCCTTCATGCTGAGCCACATCCTCAGCCTTTGTAGTTTTTTGGATTGGAAACAGTCTTAATAAGTCACGAAGTTCAGGCTGGGCTTGAACTTTCAATTTTCCTTGCTTCAGCTTTCTGGAATGCTGGGATAACAGGTGTGGACCAGATGTTTTGCCTAAAAACATTCTTTGAATGCTTTTGTTGTTGGGTTTTTGGAGGCTGGTGTCTCCCAGAGGTGGTTCCTAGGTTCTTTCTGTCCCGAATAAAGAACTGGTCAAGACAAGTGCCACTGCCCTTCTTTGAGCCTCAATTTCCTCATCTGTAAAGGGGGGGTGGTGACATTTCCAGTTCACAGGGTTGTGGGAACCAAGTGAGAAAAAGTTCATTAAAAGGATTCATATGTAAAGAAGGCTAAAATAAAAACTGGGGACACCTCCCCTCAATTCCCTACCACATTTCAGGGTGAAAGGACCTTCTCATTACTGACAACTAAGTTAGTTAAAAATATTATAGGAAGTCAGACAGGGCTAGGCCCCTAAAAGAACACAGTGCAGAAGATACATTACAGCTGTAGGTGGAGGTGCACTCATTGAAAGCCAGACCTCAAATCCAAATATAGAATGACTGGGGGCTGGGGATTTAGCTCAGCGGCATAAAGCGCCTGCCTTGCAAGCAGGCTGTCGTGAGTTCGATCCCTGGTACCGATAAAAAGGAAAAAGATTAAAAAAAAAAAAAAAAAAAAAAAAAAAAAAATATATATATATATATATATATATATATATATATATAGAATGACTACACCCACATATTTCCCCTAGGGAAGAACAGGGGGGATTGACATTCTAAACAGGTATCTATTACCCGTTAGGCTTGCAGGAAAAGTCTCTGTTCCAGCCCTTATACACCTTCTGTGTGACTTGCTTCCTCATTTGATCCCCATTCAATCAATCTTCCCTATCGGGTTATACTCGTAATCTTATTGGTTGACTGTAATTCTGTCCCACCTCATGTCTACCTTGTGGTTTCCCATTGGATCAGTGTTATCTAAACAACTATGCTAGTAACTAGTATAGCTAGAATTAGTGACCTTATTAGTTGACTACAGTTCGGTCCCACCTTTGGACCCCTTCACCTCATGGTTTCCTGTCTAAACTTCCTTTAGAAGCAGAATCCTCAGCAACCTACTGGGAGCCCCTTTTGTCTCTCTTAGCTAGACGCTTTCTTTCCCGTGAAAAATATTTTCTGCTTATAATCCCTGTTGTTCCTAGAACTCATTCTTTGATTTTAGAGAACACAAGCTTGGCGTATTGGCCATCTGGCAGGCTAGGAGGTTGGGAGTTATGTTATTTCCATTATATCATTTGGTTTTTCAGAGGTCCAATATCATCCTTATATCCGCGTCACCATGTTACCGGGTTCTGGAGTGCTGGAGTCTCCTTGTAGAGGTAGTTTCTAGGTTCTTTCTGTCCTGAAAAAAAAAAAAAAGCTGGTCAAGACAAGCAGAAAAGGCAATGAGGTTTTACATTATTAAAGTTAGGAAAAGAAACATGCTCTGCAGAGTGAGTTCAGTCCAACGAAAAGCAGGGAAGGAGCACAGGCTGTAGCTTACAGGCTGGCCACTGTGAAACAGCACAGCGGCCAAGTGCTCCATGGTGGCCGAGTTTCATGTCTCTGCTCCTCAGGTTGACGTTGCTCATGCGCCCCGGTATCAAAAACCTGGCACAGCGCTGCCAGAATGCAGGATAGCACTCTCTGATTGGTTCCAGCAGAGGGCTTTGGGAACTGTTCTGCGCATGTGTGCTGCAACTCTGTGATCAGCAGGTCGCTGGCATTTCTCCAGCCCGCATCCTCTAGTCTCCTACCTCAACCAGATAGGGTCTGAAAAGGCTCCCAAAATGAGCTAAGGAGCCTAACCCACGCTATTCAGAATAATGTTGCAAATTTGCTGACTCCTGTCACAGAAAAAGAACTATCAAGACTTAAAAAATAATTGTAAAAGGAACTTTCAATGAAAATGTACACATGCAGAGAAATAAATGCAGACCTACAAGAGAAAGACATATTATATACTAGAATGGGAACATCTGTGCTTCTCCTGAAGGGTTGGAAACCCCAGGAAAAGATGCTTACCCCAAAGCAGGATATCAACCCATATTACAGCCATAAGCCCAGTTTTGTTTTTTTAAATTATGAATCATCTTTTCATTTATTATTTAGTTTCCCAGGATCACACTCACGACCTCACACTTGCCAGACAGGTGCTTGTGCCACTGAGCTATATCCCTGGCCCCCTTGTTTTGTTTTTTTGAGATGGATAATTCAAACATTTTTTGAATTCTCTCAGCTTGTTTCTTTATCTTAGGACCACGTTCCTGCTCCTTATTTTCTCAATTAAGCTTAATGCATGGACTCCAGGATTCCTGAGGAACTGTAGGTGCCTAGAAGGAAAGGACCCTCATTTCACCAAGAGAACACTACATGGATTGCCTTGGTGACTTCTGGTGGGTCCAGGAAGTTGCAGTCCCCTGAAAAGTGCAATTGTTTTAGTTATGATTTCCTTATCTCCTCCCTACCTTGTATTTCTTCTCTCCTACCTCACTTGGAACTGGAAATTTGCAGGGAGCGCCTGGTGTCTGTCACCTCACTTAATCAGTTGACCCTGGGTGTCACAGAGGGTTCCCCATTGTACCATTATCTTTCTGCTCACAAATGTGGGGCCAAGATTCACCCTGGAAGCTTCCAGCCTCTTCCTCTCCTGGATTGGGGGACTTTCTGATCATTTAGGATGCTGTTCCCCAAGCTTGCCTGCTGGGGAAGATCGATGGGTCGGTTTCCAAGCCCCAGCCCTGATCGATGGAATGACTGACAGCATTCATTGAACATTTGTTCTGTGTCCAGATAAGGCAAGGAAAGGAGGGGGAGCAGCAACTCTAGGAAAGGCCCAGGAAGCGGGGTCCAGGCCCAGAGGCCCAGCCACTCCTAGGATCAGCTGGTGTTTGGAAGATGCTGGTAATAAAAGGGAGAGCCCAGATCAGGGGGGCGGGGGGGGGGGGCTCTGAGAAGCGGTCCACACCAGCAAGGGCACAGCGTTTAGGGGCACTGTGCTACTTCAGGCTGTAATGACAGGTCCCGTCAAGTCCCCTAGAACCTAGTTAATAAATAGGGCCAGGAGTGGTGTTGGAAAGGTTCTGGTTTTTCCCATGTGCACATTTGTGATAATAAAAGCAAATGTCATCATAAATGGGGGCTGACAAGTGTTCTGTGGTAGAGCACTTGCCTAGTGTACGTAAGGACCTATGTTTGATTCCTAGAACTGGTGTTTTGTTTTGTTTGGTTTCTTAAGAGCTCTGATAAAAACAACCCTGAAAACTTTTCACAGTGGAGCCAGAAGGCCCTTAGGAAGCAGGAGATATGTGAATCTGTATTCAGATTGCTGTCCAAATGTAAACTTGGTCCACCCTGATGATTGCAGGCACATGGAACAACCAATCAGATAAGCACTCTGTCCTGGGAGGCCCAGGATGCATATCAAAGGTTAGGTGCTCTTGTTCAATGGTTGTTTTCTGAGTATAACCTTCTTTCACCCCTTGCATAGATAGCCCTGGTTCCTGACTCAGATACAGGTTTCCTACAGAAGAATCCCTACTGCTGTAATAAAAGAATGCCCTTGCTGATAAGGTCTGCCTTCCCTACCTTCTTTGACCCACTATCTGGAGCTGTCTGAATCTGGGGTTTTTGGTTTTGTTTTTTTTGTACAAGTATCAAACTCATGACCTTGCGCTTTCCAGGCAGGAACTTACGCTGCTGAGCTAAATCCTTGACCCCCAAATCTGTTTTTTGAGACAGGGTCTTGCTGTGTATCTCAGGGTGGCCTTGAACTCATTATGAAGTCTGGGCCTGCTAGCCTCTTGCCTCAGCCTCCTGAGTGCTGGCATTAAAGGCATGCATCACCATGCCCCATCCCTTCAGTCTGTGTTTCTAATTTGTGATTCCTAAGACCCCAATAAAGCCCCCCTTTCCTGTGGTTCCAGGCTGATGCCCCACGCAGCCCCCTACCCACACACAGCTGTGGTTGCAGACCATAGCCAACCAAGGTCAGGTGTGAAGCTGGATTTGCCCGCTGTCGCTAGCTGCGCTTCGAGTTCTAGGCCTCCTGGAAACTTCCGCCTGTCCAGGAGACCACGTTCACCCTGGGGCCGGAAGTCTTGCTCTGGAGCAGGGAGATGCGGGACAAGGCGGCTGCACCAAGGGTTCCCGGGCGGGCGCTCAGCCTAGCCATCCAGCTTGTGAGAGGGGAACCCCGGCCCAGCATGCGCCAGCAGGGGGCGCTGGCGAGCACAGGAGGGTCGAAGCAGAAGCTGCCCGGGAACCGGGAAGAGCCGCGGGGCGGGGCGGGGCGGGAGGAGGAGCCCGGCCTGCGGCCTGCAGAACCCGAGTCGCAGTGGCCTCGCGGCCCCCGGAGGCTGTTGCGGCGGCGCAGCGACGACAGTAAGTGCGGGCTGGGCACCGCGGAGCTCCCCGGCTTCCCGTCCTGGTCGCGATCCCGGCCTCCTGTGCGGCATCCCCCGCTGCGGGTCTGCAGCTCTCCCCCGTCCTTCCCGCCTTTGCTCCGCCCTGAGATTGGACCTCAGGGCTCCTGTGTGGACCAGGCAGCCCAGGATCTCCGAGGAGGCTGGCACCGAGGGTCCCAACTGGGAGGCCGATTTTGCTGTGGCCTCTGCTGTCCCCTGGCTTAGCTTCCCCGCTGGGGGCGTGGAGGCACAAGGGAGATCGACTTGGCCAGAGGCAGGAACCTCGCTGGAACCTGCATCCAGGCTTCCCAGCCCACGCGGGGTCTGCAGCCCACGGCCCCCCGGGAGGGAGCAAGCCCAGGCAGCGGTGACCACCCAGGGGAGGCTTGGGCGCTTCTTTACTTTGCTTTGTCTCTTTTTTTAATCCAAAAGCCAGCGGCTAGCTTTTATGAAGAGTAATAAGACTGCTCACTCCAGTGCCCCAGCCTGTGACCCGGGTTAGAGAAAATTCCTGGCTCCTTCAGAAGCTTGGTCAAGGCTGAATGGCCCTGGACAAATAGACACAGGAGCTGGGAAGGTGCCCTGGGCGGGTGGGGGCGAGGCATGGAGCTGTTAGCCCTCACACCGCTGCCCCCTTCCAGCTGGAACGTCTAGCTCTGCTCTTCTCCGCGGGTCCTGATTACCTCTTACCCTTGCTGACACTAATTGTGAGCACACGGGTGTGTGCACCTGTGCACACCCTGTCTGGTTTGGGTTCTTGCTGGCTGACTGAAGCTCAGGAGAGGCTCTGCTTGGCCAAGGGAGTTTAAAATGGACTTGCTGGCGGGTGTCCTGAAGCCTTGTCTGAGTGCCCCACAGGGGAGCTGGGATCACACCCAGGACAGGGAGCCAGGAGTCCAAGCTGCCCCGCCCACATTGGCAGTGCCCTGATAGGGGTGTCATGGGGTACAGAGCCTAGATACTCGGTGAAAGACAAATGAGTGTGCCTGCAGTGGTCCCAGATCCCTGGCTCTGAGGCCTTCAGGAGCTAGGACCTGCCAGACGCAGGTTCCCAGTCTCCTTCCAGGGAGGCTGAGGAGTCTCCTGTGGGCCCCAGACTCCCCAACTGCGTAACTTCACAGGTGCTGCTGGTAGCTGAGTGATCTTGGGGGAGTCACAGCCATGCTGAGCCTCAGACCCTTTGTCTGAGAAAGGGGTCTTAGAGTCATAACTAACAGTGCTCAGGCTGTTGTCAGGCTTTAGTGCAAGGCGTGACGCCGGCATCTGTGAGTTCTGGGCTTGCTTTTAGCTGTTGGGATTCTTTCTGTTTGAATGTGGGACCCCTGAAGGCCTCAGTCTTTCTCTCTAAAGAAAGAAAAGCAACTTTTGGCTGATGCCAGAGAATAACCTGATGTTCCCTGACATCGCAAAGGGTGCTGAGCCCTGTCAGGGGTGTTCCTATCCCGCAGGGCAGGCTGGGAGGCCTGGCTCCATGCTCTGAGTCAGCTCAGCCTCTTCTACCAGCCATGACATGTGCATTCATTTGTTTACTGGGTCAGCAGAAAGCTTTAGCAATGGCAAGGGTGGGGAGAGTTTCCTGAACTATCCCGTCCGCAGCACCATGGGAGTGAAAGTCCCCATCTGTAAGCTGCTGTCACATTCTGAGTACATCGAGAGCCACCTCAAGGCCAGTGAGCCAGGCGACTACGCTGGGATGCTGGGGGAGGTGAGAGAGAGCCGCTGAGGTTTGATGACTGGCCACTTCCAGGCTGGGCACCACAGACATGGGAGTCACAGACTTGTAAAACAGGCCTCCCTGGATTGATGGATGGGAGATCAAGGCTCAAAGTGTGGTAGTGTGACCAAGGCCACACAGGCAGTGCACACCCAGGCTTTTGTTGTGTTGTCTCCCAGAATCTGCAGACCTCAGCCTCTCCACCTTCCTACCTTTGTGGGCTTGCTTTGGGCCTCTGTTTCCCCACCATGAAATGAGGAGTGGTCACTGCAAGGTCACACTGGCTCGGAGGCAGCTCTAGACATCTCATGCTTTAAAAAAAATTAAGGGCTTTTGTTTTTATTTATAATTTTAAGTTTTGTTTTTGAAAAGTTAATAAATTCACACAATTCAGAATTCAAAAGGCACAAAAAAATGAATAGCAGTGACATCCTCCTCCCTGTCTTAGTCGCCTTCCATTGTTAGAAATGTCTTAGTTGGGCGTGGTGACACATACCTATAAAGGCACTTGGGAGACTGAGGCAGGAAGACCCCCGTGAACTCAACACCATGCTGGGCTACATAGTTCAAGGGCAACCTGAGCTGAATAGCAGTACTGAAGAAATCTCAGTGTCCTTTGGAGGTAGTCCAGTGGTGTGTGTGTGTGTGTTCTCTCCCTGACACATCATTTTGCATGAATATCATTTCTATGCATTATCCTCACTTTTTGGCATAAAGTTGCACCAAGTTCAGAGACGGTTCTTTGCCCCTGGGGGGTTCTGCTTCATTTCCCAAAGGCTGCATTTCCCAAAGGGTAGAAGGGAGAATGTCTTAGACCAGGTTGGTCCTCCAAGATCGGGCCTCAGTGTCTTACACCAGCCTGTCCCACACTGGTTTTCGACCTGTCCTGCCCTTGCATGGCTGGGGTGACCTCAGAGGTCACTCACACTTCTAACATCCTGTCTTCCTCCATGTCTGAGTTTTGTCTTCTTGATTCTTGATTCCACAGCCCAGACTCTAGTGACCCAGCAGTGGGTACAGTTTCACTGCAGGGCAGGCGAGTCCCCAGCTGCACCCGGCTGCGGTGTCTGCTCACCTCCCCCATCTGGGTCTCTCCTTGCCCCAACAGTGGCCTTTGTTCCAGAGGATGATGAGCATCACAGCGCCAACTCCACCTACAGAGCCCCTGGCAGCCCGACGTGGGCCGAGCGGGAGACGCTGCTGGGGAAGCAGCTGGACCGCCCACCACCCGGCCTGCAGAGGCCCGAGGACCGCTGCCACGCTGCCTATGCCATCTTCTTCAGCCTGGGAGTTGGCGGCATGCTACCGTGGAACTTCTTTGTCACCGCCAAGGAGTACTGGGCGTTTAAGCTCCGCAATTGCTCCAGCTCGGCCTCGAGGAGGGACCCTGAGGACTCTGACATCCTGGTAAGGGACGCAGATGCGGACGTGGAGGTGAAGCTGTGTGATGCTCCATGCAGTCCCGAGACCCACTCTGTGTGGCTTGTGAGACCCCACACCGCTGGTGGCAGGGAGCGGGTAGGAACGTTGTCCCAGCCCCCACATTGCTTACTGTGTACCTGGGAGGAAGAAGCTCGAGGTGGCCCTATGTAGGGTAGTGTGTCAGACCTAGGACGCCAATGTCCATGTCGCCAGGAATTTGAAGGCATGGATTTAGTAGCATTAAGTTCAGCTGGGAGTTTCAGAAAATTCTGAAAGACGTGTGGCTAGGAAAGATGGAAGGTCTTTTGTCACTCGAGTCTGGGGCTGGGGAAGTGACCTGCAGATTCTATGATGTCCTACAGGGTCAGGAACATAGTGGCTTCATCATGTATATATAACTCTCTTGTCTAAGGTCACCTCATAGTTTAAGATGGCTGAGGGACTCCAGCCATTACATCAGTAGGAAGAGGAAGAAATGCCAGTTGGTTTTAAGAACTCTTCCTAGAAATAACTCTTCCTAGAAATAAATTCTGTTTGTATTGCAGTGCTCAGAACTCAAAAGCAGCATCAGAGGCTGAGAAGTGTAATTTTAGCCCAAGGGACCACAGAGTCTATGTCTGTTTTCTGTGACTATAACACAGTATCACAGTTTAGGTGACCTATGATGAGAGGAGGCTTATTTTGGGGGGGGCCAGATCAGAGGCTGCATGTGGTGATGGCCTTGCCAACCGTCACGAGGTGGCACAGGGGTGTTTGTGTGTGTGTGTGTATATATGTATATGTATGAGTCTGGCCGCTGGGATTTGATCCTGGGGTTCCACCCTAAGGGCACCATCTAGTCCTGCTCACCCCTAAGGGTCCCCCTTAAAATGCCACAAATGGTTTTTTTCCTCCTGTTTTTGAGACAGGTTTTCACTATGCAGTTCAGGCTAGCCTTGGGGTCACTTTGTAGCCCAGGCTGGTCTCAAACTTACAAGGATCCACCTGCCTCAGCTTCCCAAGTGCTGGGATTATAGGCGTGCACCACCATACCCACCTGCCCCTGTTGACCTTCAAGGCAGGGACTACATTTCAACAAGGGAAACCTTAGGTACACTCAGTGGCTTGGCGACTTTTCTCTCATTGCTGAGACAAAATACCTGATGCCAAAATTAAGGAAGGAAAGTTTATTTATCTTACAGTTTTGAAGGTTTCAGTCCATATTCAGCTGGCTCCAAGGCTGGGTGGTGTGGCCAAGGGATAGCTGAGGGGTAACCGTTCACAGTGGCCGCAAACAGCAAGAACAAACAGGCAAAAGGGAAAAGTGGGCCTCCTTCCTGCCCTTACATTGTGTGCCCGATTGACCCCTGAGCGGGCGTAGCACTCACACCACCACTCCCAGCACGAGACAACGAACCAATCAACAAACGCTAGATTCAGCTGCCTCCATGACTGCATGAGGCTTGGGAAGCCACCTAGATACAAACCATAACACAGAGCATCTCCAGACCTAGCATGGGGGGAAATAAAGCCTTGGGAACAAATAGTCTGGTCCCAAGGGAGGGGTCATTATAACTCTCGAGGAGTAGATGTGAAGAGCAGTGAGACCTAGGGGACAGGACCAGCTGTGGACACCCCCGTGTAGTACTGGGGAAGGTGGTCACAGTGACGTGTGTAGTCATTGCCTGGACCTCAAACCTCTGGTGCGAGAAGTCTGGATTGTGTTTGGTTTCGTTGCACTGAGCTCCCTCCCTCCCCACCCACAGCAGCCCACTTTGCGGGTGACTTTTCTCAGGAGGGCAGGGCAAGGTGTTATAGAAAAAATTATTCAGACACCTGTTAGAACTGCAGGAACTTTAAGATGGTTGCAACAGGGAGGAGATGGAGCTCAACTGTGCAAAGGATGGAGGGACATTCAGCCTGGGAGCAGGGCTGGAGTCAGAGGATGGAAACTTGGTTCTGTTCTTTTCTTTTGTGAGTGGTAGGGTTTGAACGCAGGTCTTTTGCACTGAGTTCCATCTGCAGCCCTTTATATTTTTCATTTTGAGTGAGAGTCTAAGTTGCACAGGCTAGGCTTAAATTGGTGATGCCTCATCCTCCCAGAATACTGGAATTACAGGTATACACCACCTCATCCAGATTACAGTTGGTATTTTTTAGGACTTTCTCATCCCACATTCCACACCCCCTATAGTTCTGACACCCTGGGTGGCCTTCTCTGCCATCCTGGGAATTCACAGATGCCCCCAGATCCAGAGCTAGGGTTGGATTTATTTGTGTGGCAAAGACATCCCTAAGGATGGAGCACTGTGGTTAGAGCCCTGCTGCTCTGTGTGGTCCTCAGGCCATTGGCCCTGGGAACTCATTAGTGATGCAGTCCCAGCACCTCGAGGCCAGACTCCTGTGTTCTTAAGACTGATGGGCTCGGTGGACTGAACTTGGAGAGCCTCTGGGTCCAGGTCCATCCTGTCTCAGCGGTGGTCTTGAGCTTTGGTGCTGCCTTGCTTTCCTGGTTGTAAGAGGACACTGCCGCTGCTGCCACCTCCCTCTCAGCATTGTTATGATGATAGAGTCCATTCCATGTGTCATAAGCTGCTATATAAACATCATTTTGTTTTGGTTTTTTGAGACAGGGTCTCACTATGTGGTTCAGGCTGGCCTTGACCATGTTGGCCTCAAACTCATGGCAATCTTTCTGCTTCAGCCTCCCTGGGGCCAGAATTACAGGTGTGTGCCACCGTGCCCAGCTTCCTATAAACATGATTATGGCCGCAATCATTCAGGGCCCTGCCCACAGTCTCTACCACTCACTGCCCACGCCTGCTTCGCTGGGCTGTTCCACCACCTTCTTTAGTTAGTGGTGACTCAAGCGTCCCAGCTTTGGGCTGCCCACCAGGCTTCCTGCATAGCCAGCCTGTGTGCACACCTGTCCTGACCTGCTTCTGTTGGCTGTCTCTGCCTCTGGGCGCAGGCTGTGCAGGAGGACAAGCCAGCCAGCGTGGCCGGTGTGGTCCTGGAGCTGCCCTCGTTGCCAGGGAGCTCGCACGGCCATCCTCCCAGCTGCAGGCACTTAGCATTCCCCACCCTGCCACGATGCTTTATTGCCTCTTCCCAAGTGCTGGCAGGTGCGGATGTAGTACCTATGGCTGCCCGGAGCTCCTGGCTCTTGGCATCGGAGATGAGAGACCTGTCACCCCTCGATTCATGGGCCAGCTCCAGGAAGCGAGCATGCTGGGTGTTGTACATTTTGCAGGCCGTTTTTCTTTGCCTCATTCCTCACGCCTGCCACCCACCTCCCTGGTGCTTCTGCCTCTTCCAGATTTCCCTGCATGCGGTGCTGGCCGGCCCTGCATCCTGAGGGCCACTATGGAGGAAGGAGCGGGAGAGTCAGATGGGGCTGCCACCTGCAGCTCCATTATCCGAGGAGTGGCTTGTTTGTTTCTGTACTTTCCTTTTAATATTTTGTGAAGGTGGAAACCATTTGTGGGAGAGTCCAATCCAGCAGGAATGTTTGAACAGGACCACCCCTTACACACACACACACACACACACACACACACACAGCCACATCCCAAATTAAGTCATTTTCAAGGTCGCCTCCCACCACGGCTCATTTCCTTCTGCCGAGAACAGATTCGGAGGTGGTTTAGAAAGCACCTTCTTGCTGGGCTGTCTCATCTTTGTTTTCTGTTGGCTCAGGACCAAAAAAATTAGAGCATAAACGAAGAAGTGGTGCCTTGTAGGGAGCTACAAAGCCGGGTGAGCTACAACAGGCCAAGGGCAGGCAGCCAAAGAGAGTGCAGGCAGCTGCCACTTCCTGGACTCAGCGTGGTGGCAGTGGTGTAGTACCAGTGTCCTTTCCGTAATCCTGAAAGGCAGGATGCCTGCAGACAAAAAGCCAGAGGTTCAGAGAAGTCAGGTAACTTGCCCAGGATCACACAGCTAGGAAGGACTGTCGAGAATTTCATGGAGAATGTAAGTGTTAGATGGTAACATAAGTGGTCACACTCAGAGAGCAGTGTGTAGGGGACCATCCTGGGGACGGGGGCCAGTCCATTTCCTGACTCCGTCAAACAGTCTTCTGCAGGGAGCGCGTCCTTGGTCTGACCTACTCTTCCAGCTTGTAACCTCAGGTGCCTGATCTTGGGCCCCGGGTACCAGACGGACAGTGTCCTTTGTCTGTGCCCCCTCTTTCATGGGACCCCCCCTTTCCAGTACCTCCTGCAGGCTGTACCAGCTGCTCTGGACCAAGGCAGCACAGGGAGCTGGGCAGGAGGGCGATGGTTCCTCTCTGTGTGTTAGAGCCTATAGGGAGCCTCAGTAGGTCCCCAGGGCCCTATGTGTGTCTCTATCAAGTTCTCGACCTGCAGCCATGGGGGCCATGCTCTACTAGGCAGACGTTGTTTTTGGATTTGGCTTGCTGCAGCTCTTAGGGCCCCTGGGAGGCACCAGTGTCAGGTCCCAGGTGACCCAGGGGATGCCTCCCCCACAACCTGTTAGCTCTTGGGAGACAGAATGCATGGCTCTCTCGCTGAATATCTCTGTGTCCCGACACACTGGCCATGGCGCCCAGCACACAGCAACACGTCACACATGTCCGTGGCTAGACACCCCAGTGGAGGGAGGAAGGTCCCGTTACTCCAGTCTGAGATAGGGAGAGCCAGGCTCCGTACTGAGCTGAAGATCTAGGCGTCACAGTGGTCACCGCCAGAGGAGTCCTGAGCTTCTTGGGGGCTGGCATAGACATAGACATGAAGTGTGAGCTTTCTACCCAGAGGTGGGATTGGCCTGAGTCAGCAGATGGGGAGGGCTAGGGCAGTTCCTCCTCTTATTTACAGCCCCTGGTTCTGGCTTAGTCCCCCAGGCCCTGGAAGAGGTAGTGAGCATGTCTATCTTTGTGACAAAGTGTAGGCCTTCCAGTCCAGAGAGGAAGGCTGTAAGTAACCAGAAAGAACTAGTCTGGAGAAGAGGAAGCTGAAGAGGGGTCATCAGAGGTCTTGGCAGTG